TTTGGTTTTATTTATTAAGCCATTGATTTTCTTACCAGGCTTTGTAAATAAACCCAAATCTCAAAGTTCATTGTTTAGTGCTGTAGCTTGTTATTGCTTATTAAAACCAAAAAAACCAGCCCCCCCAAACCCCTGCATATCCTAGCTTTAAGCTGTGTCTTTCCTCTTTTAATCTTTCGTCGTATAAAAATAATGACCTCTTCCAACTGTTCTTGCACACTTCCTTAGCTAACAATCTGTCCTCACACTGTGATGGCTGAATGCATAGTAATCGCTGCTCTGGTACCCCTTCTGGCCTCAACTTGAGAGCCCTGTCCCCTCCTACAGGCTGTATTCCAGGATGTGAGAGCTGCTTAGACTGATAGTGCGTCTAGTTTAATTGTTGAAACTTCTTTGGCACTGTGAAGTTTGCCTTAGTGATACGCATATGTTGCAGTAGGCAGTGGTTTTTAGCAAGTTGGTTTTGAAAACCCTCTTTGGAGAAGCTCTGAAGAGAATCTGAAAGACTGTTTCAGAGGTAGTCTGTGGCTGAGCGATTTTGGCTGGTTTAAAAACCTTTTTCTGTTGAAGCATGCCTCTAGTTTAATTACAGATCACCTCAATATACGGAATCAGGAATGACTATGCCAAGAGTGGTTAAAGGGGTAGCACAGAATGCTGTCCTATATGTGACGTTTGGGTTGTGGTGCTTTGTTTTGGTGTTGTGGTTTTTTTTTTTTAACTTAATGCTACCATTAAGTGGTTTTCATGTTTTCCGAGCTGTTGCTGGCTAGTAGCAGGTGTTTCAGAAAGCCAGTGGAAGTGCGGGATGTGGTGCAGAGCATGGAGTGCGTGGTGACCGCAGCAGAACGAAATTAAACCGTGTCTGTTGCTGGGTGAAATGAACTGATGAAGAACATAGTTGGTTCCATGTGATACTGCAGTATCCCTCACCCCCGTCTCAGGCAAGTCAGTATAAAAATGTGCAATTACTGCATAGCATGTTTCTTGCTGAACTTTGGTAGCAAAAAGGAAAACATGAAAGAAGCAGTATCACAATTTCTAAGATTCCACCTTGTACAGGTGATCCCTGACCTTGACGGTCCACCTTACGTATGCAGCCTGTGTAGTTTCTTTCAGAAGCCTGGCTTCCTAGCAAAGATCTTAGCTAAATGTGCTGGGTAAAGAACTAACTTGGATTCGTGTCAAGGATAGGACAAAGATAGGACAATGCAGAGAAGTGCTACGCAGAAATCTGCAGATGTCTTTTGCCATTGCCTTCAAACTCTGGAGAGTTTTGCTGCGAGTTTCCAGCCTTGAATCCTGTATGGCTCTGGCAATACTGCAATGGCAGTTGGCATTGCGAGTCCTGAACCCGAGTTATCCTCAAAGCTGATCTGGTGTACTCCACTGCAGCTCAAACTCTGTCTTGTGGCAGTTCTTTTGTTGCCATGTTTCGGTCCTTAATGGCGTTGCAATGCTGCGTTATTCTCATGGACAAAGGCTACCAGTTGTGCCAGCTTTTGCGTAAATGGTATGAGTCTGGTGTACAGTATAGATAAGGAGGTAGATGATAAACAGAGAGGGTTAAATTTGTTTCTGTATTGGAAATCATTCAGGAACTGTTGTTGCCAGCCTTACTTCCTCTCTTTCCTTCTTTCTAAAGCTGATAAATTAAAGCTCTGCACCACCCTGTGCTCTCTCCTGTTCCTTTCTCATCCTCACCTCTGAACTGTTTTCTCTCAGTGGTGCTGCTTTTGGCCTTGAACCTCCAACCTCCCCCGTTGCTTTAGATCTGAAAGGACAAAGCTTTATTGAACTGAACATCCTCTCTCTTCTCTCCAAACTGTTTGGAACAAGCCTCTCTTGGATTAGACTGTGCTTGTTTTGCCCTGCTCTGCTACAGAAGCTTCTTGCCTTTTTGATATTCAGTCGCAGGCTTCCATCTCCTTTCTGACCAGCCCCTGTTTACTTTGCAGAATACAACGTTGTCATGGCAACAGGTTACTTTTCAAAGGGAACATCTTGTCATTATATTTAATCCACTGCAGCTGAAGAGGACTGAAATATTAAGTTGTTGTTGCTATGGATACTGCTTTGTTACATCAGTTTCTTTTGTGTCAGATTTCATATACAGTGTTGGGTCCTCTTTTTTCTTTCCCATGGAATAAACGCAGAGTGCCGTTCCATTATTATTGTAATTGCTCTCCACCAATATAATTTAGCTTAAAAATCTACAGTGCATTTTAGTTTCCATAGCGAGAATTTTCTTTCCATTTGCAAACCCATTCCTGGGGACGTGGAAACAGTAAAAATTATTTAACAGATTGTGTGCCCTTGCAGAGCTGTCAGCTTTGTGCCCTTTTAAAAAACAGTGTGATGTAGTGCAGTCTGAAAGAGCTTCCTGCACAGCAGCTTGATTCAGTCCAGCCCTTACCTTTTGGGGCAGGGGGAGGGAGTACCCCTAGGGTGTGAATATAATCAGGAAATGGTAGATGAGTGCTGAAAAGGCACACAGAAATATTTCTCCCGACACTTCATTTTCGTGTGAGGAATCGTGGCTGGATAGCCCCACTGAGTTTCCCCAGCTAACTCCACATGAATAGTTAGGAGCAGAAGTCCCATCCAAAGCTTTGCTTTTATCTTTGCAATTACTTATAGGATGCTCCAGCATCCTATAATCAGTCTTGATTCTTAAATTTATCATATTCAGTGTGATGCAACTGAAGAAATTGGGAATTGGGGGATATTTGGGGTGCTGTGTTTTTTCCTATCTAACAGTATAATAGCTTAATTTTCTGTTTAAGTATAAAAGCTACTTGTGTGGCCTTTGGCTGGTGTGGAGTCTTGTAGCTGGCAGAAACTGCATAGACATGTTTTAAGTTTGACTTGCACTGACCGGTAGAGATGTGCAAGGCTTTAAAATGAATTCTGGGAATAAAGGAGGAGCATCATCATTTTCTGTTGTCAGTTTCCCCTTCATTCCTCACAGGGAAAAATTCTGACACCTTGTAGCTGAAAAAAAATGTATGTACCCTAGCATTTAATTTATAACTTTGTTGTAAATATAAAATAGATTTTCTCGTTCAGTCATTTCCTTGCATAACCTGAAAACAGTAGAACGGTGTCAGATCATGTCTTGCAAAAACGTGCATTTGAGAAAAACATTTTGACGTGTTCTTGTTCTTTTCAGGAGACTTTTGGCACTTATTTTAGAGTGGATCTGCTTACCAGGAAGGTAGCATTGCATAGGTGTCACGACGTAAGATTGAGTATTACAAAACCTGTGTTTATTCCTGTCTGACAGGTTCTCCTGTCATGTTGTCTTGGATAAGGTCCATTCAGATCCACTGCTGTAGTTTACCCACTTGTGCACCACTGAATAACAGTTCGGAATGGTCAGTAAGGTGAAGTTTAACTTAATATACATATGCAATATACCTTGAAATTTTGAGGTGAAGATGTTCGTGAAGATATGCAAACGATCATGTCAAACCCTCCAGTGACCTTTCTGACTTCAAATGGTATTTAATGGTTTGGGCTATCGGTTGTTAGTTTCGCTCAGGGCTAGCAGTTTACGGTTGTGATCTTAATTTTTAAAGTTTAAAGGAAACTCTTTCTCCGTCATTGCTTATGATCACCATGAACACAGCAGGGTGAAGAATAAATCCTGCAGGGTGTCAGCTTACTTGTAAAATGATGTCATTATTCCTGTAACAGCAAATTGCAAGATTAATTCAAGTTTGCTGTTCACAGGTTAAAGGTGGTGATCTCTTAGGCTTATGCACGTGCTCTTCCTTGCTAGTGTGTTGAGACTCACTTAAATGTCTTGCTGTTATTGAAGTGTTAAATTCAAAAGTTTGTCTTATAACATCTCTGAATTTTGTTGTCCTTTTAATGTAATGTGCAGAATATAAATAAAAGATGTCTGTTTACATAAGAACAATTTATAGAAAAAGAAGAATGTTGATCTTAAGGATATTGAGTTTCCTTGGATTCGGTTGTCGTCTTTAATGCTATTTTACAAGAGTCTTGGAGGGTCATTTAAGTTTTCAGACTGTAGCTGCGTTCAGTATCCCAAATACCAATACAAGTGCCTTTATAGACTCTAGTGAGCTGGCTCTTGACAAGAGCTGGGTATGTGAGATTACAGCAGAGAGGTCACATGGTCACAATGGTAGTCCTTGAGAAGTCAGTATTTCCAGTAAATATTTTTGTTCGTGTGCCTTCTTGTTGCTTATATTGTAATGTATTTAATAAAGAAAAGGGGTCAAAGGGCACTCCTCAGTGATAAAGTTTTGTTTATTCTGTATAGTCTGTTCAAAATTTAGGAAGAAAAATAAATTCTGTCATGTCAGATGTGTTATTCTGGTTTATATTGGCATACCTTTAACTTCTGTTGTCGCCAGGGTGATTCTATTGCAACATGAAAAAATAGTTTTTCTTCTACCATGTAATGTGATGTTTCAGTAACTCCAACCAATGGTGTGAGCAGCCCAGAGCCCTTCAGAGTATAATTCTCATTACATGGAGGACAGTTCATTTGGAACTTGAAGTTTTTTATATAAATATATTTTCAAAATAGTGGAAAAATATGAGGGCCAACTGTATTGAGTAGAAGGGAAGCCCTTTTTGGATTAATTGAATTAAATTCACTTCTACAAACATTATAAGGCATATTTTTATTGCTTTTCAGATTTTCTATGCTTCTGTGTCATGCTAATTAGTGCGATTTCAGTGAATGAATTAATAACAGCAATAATAATTTTAACTTCTTAAAACAAGAGCTAGATAATTTTGCATGTGAGATCCAAAGTAACTTGAATGGTTATTGCCCTCTTGGTTTTTGCCATTTGCAGTGTGGCCTGTAATGCACCTGAATTCTTGTTTCTTAATAATGCATTCTTTTTGCTTCGCTTCCATTTGCATTGGAAATGCAGTGACAAAAAAATACAGCATATGATCCTAAATTTCGTTAATTATAACTCTTTCTTGTTACTGTTTTTTTCTTTATATATTAGGAGGCTAAACAGTACCCAAGGTGAAATCAGAGTTGGACCCAGCCATCAGGTAAGGGATTTTGTTCGTATTCTAATATCCAGAGGGCATGCTTTTGCCACTTGAACTGTTCAGAGGACACTTATTTAAAATTGTATGCATTCAAATACAATGACTTTCTTTAGATTCATCAGGAGTTCTTTAGAATTCCTGAACTCAGTTAATGAGATTTTTCTATGTCAGATGTTGATATGTTAATGATTTTTACTAGCAGAAGTGCTATTGGGTTGATTCTAGAATAAGATTGAAGAAATATGAGTGACTACTGGAAATGAAGGAGAAATCTCAGCTATTATTGGGCACGTTCTGGAGTTAAAAATGAATGCATTCTCGGCTGGCTTTCACCAAGCAATGTTTTTAATAAACTATAAAAAATTAATTTGGTGTTTTCCAGTTATATTGAAAGTAGATCTTTTAATTTTAATTTGCATAGTAAAATTGTCCAGTTGGTAGTATGTTGCTTATAACAGTTAGTCCTTTTCGTGAATCTATGTATTTAAACAAAATGGAGTTCTTATAGAAGTGATACAAAAAAGTCAGCAGTTTTCCAAGAACAACATTACAAAATTAGAAGGATGGGGGAACTTTAAACCTGAAAAAGGTTTGTTTCCTATAGAGCAGCTGTGTTGAACTATACATATATATTTATGTATGTATTCATCTTTTAACACAGGATACAGTGCTTTTAAGCATGTCTGTTAAAGTCGCTGTCATTAATGCAGAATTCCCTGTAAACCTGCTCTCTTTTGTGTTTGTCTCTGAGCGTGCTCTGTCTGGTGTCATGTCTGTGGCTTTGCATTTCCTCATTGACTTGTGTTTACACTTGAAGTCTGCACACCTTCTCTTCTTATTTTTGTATGTTAAAGGAGTTTGGCCCACTGTGGTACTTCAGCATGAAAGTCAGGGGGCCATTGTGTATTTAGTAATTCAACAGTCATCTTAAAAATGAAATTAGTATTTATAATTGGAGCAGTTTTGGCAGCTGTTAGGGATAGACCTCTTTCTAAATACCTTCTTCTTGTGTTGCCATGTACCAACATTCTGCCCCTGCCATTCAAGAGGTTAGCTGGTCCTCACCCTTTTACCTGCATAATTTTCATACAAAGCAGTTTAAATTCTTTTTAACTAGGAGGCATGGTAATTCTGGATGATTATTGAAATACTCCCTTTATCCATAGTCTACAGAAGTCATATTATAATTATAGTATCTTGTATTTCCCAGGAAGCTTTTTATGCAGGCTTTCTTGTCACTTTCTGCTGCCGTAGAGAGGAGAAGTTTTGATTTTTAAAGATAGGGAGACCCCAGTTGTATTGTTTGTTTGACTGTGAGAAGCAGTAAGAACTGTAAGTTCTTAAGACCAGTGCCTTAAGTCATTTGGATTGTTAAAATAGAAATTGAGAAAGCATGCTGAATGTGTTCAAACACTGGGAAGCAGAATAAGGTTAAGACTCTAGATGTTAGTTTGTTCCTGGTATGTTAGTTCTAATTTAAGGAAAATCCTTCATAAGCATCGAAAATAATCTATCCTTGAAGAGCATTAACGTACAACTTACTCTGGTTCATAAGGCCAGATCTGTCACTAGGAACTGAGTGCTCTCGTTTACCTGTGGAATTGACTTTGTACTATCCACGTGATGAATATTCTTTCAGACTGTCTTTAAAATCTTGTTTAATAACTAGTGGAAGTAAACATTTATGGAACCTCTGTAACATTCTTAAGGATGTTTTGCATTTAGAGGGAAAAAAGTCCTTGGCAATTAAGCCAAAAATTAATCTTTTCACTAGTCATAATAAGAGTACTGTAAATGATACCTTCAAAACAACTTTCATCTCAAATTGTCACCTAATATTTTGGCAGGTGTTAGTCACCTGTGCTGTAAGGTATAATTACCAGATGCATTTATGGGTGGAGAAAAAGTAGGAAGAAGGTCCACTGCTTTGGAACACTTGGGTTTTTTTCTTGCTTAATATTTTAAGCTTCCATTGTTCTTTCACTCATTTGCTGAGCCATCTATGTTTCTGACAACTGTCATTGCTAAGAGGATATAATCTCGTCCTGTTAATTAGTATAAGGTATAATCTTAAGATATATGAATGGTTGATTGTAGGCTGCAGTAGGAAGTCAGATTGAAGATGATACTTGCCGCTTTCTGTTCTGTAGTCTGATTCATTCTGTGGAAAGTGTAAAAATAGTCTCATCTACACACTGGGCTTTGTTATCTCAGGGAATGGATACACTCCTCCACCTGCCTTATTGAGAATAAGGTATATGTAGCAGAATCCAGAAACCTGAGATCCCAATAGTGGTTTCTGAGGAATATCTGTTGCCTTTATTTTCCTTCAACGGTGCGTGTTACAGATGCTAGAGGACTGTTGGGTTTTTTTGATACTTAGTGCACGATACCTCAGACAACTGCTTGTATCATAATAGCAAGTAGGGACACAAGTAAAGGTAAATGTTTTGTAGAACTGCAGTTGTTCTCAAAATTCACATGCATAGGAGGAGGAGAGTGGGTCTCTACTAAATGTTCTCCTATGAAAACTTTTGGCTAACAAATTAATGACCAGAGGAAGTTGCTACTTCAAAAGGAGGTTGCTCTTAGGAGTAACTCTAGTAATTAAGCATGTTCCTAGTGTACATAAGGATGAACGTTACTTTGTGAAAGCACCCTGGTTGCTAGAATGCGTAGCTCTCCTAGAAATCTCATCTTGGTATGATGCTTGCTTATCCTTTTCCAGAAGAGAAGTTCAATGACACATCCATTTTCCCAGGCAAGAAGTAAAATAAAGTACAGATTAAAGAGCAGAACATGAAAGACATCTGAACCTTCGACTTGTAATTACTGGTTATGTATAAATGTTGCCTCTCAAATATGTTTAACGTTGTAAGTATAGGAGGTAATTATAGGGCTTAAAAGCTGTTTCTGAAGAGGCTCTCAGCTATCTCATCCCATAGCAGTAGATGACTAAAGGTGCTAATTGGGTCTCTGGATACAGTGTGATACTTACTTAGTGGCAGAGTTCATTTCATTGAGCTATCTCACTTTCAGGAAATTTCTTTGTTTCTCTTTAGAGTTTTAATGATTTACTGAGGACTTAGTTTTAAACTTAGTGTCAAATGTGTATGTGTTTTTACTGATTTTTAAAATGGTACACATATGGTAGCCACATTCTTGCCTTCTTTCATATTAGTATGTTATATGAGTATGTTTTAGCCTGGCAGGCAGGAGTTGTAACAGCATCTTTTTGACAAATGAAAACTAACTGTCTCTTTGAGGGCGAATTGTCCAAAAATGTTTGACTTCTATATATAATGGAGGACTACATATGCAGTACAAAATGGTTTACTTCAAAGCTGTGGTGTTTCTGCAGACATGCTTGCACTTGGTCTATACACAGAAGGGCTTCACTGGTGGTGGACTGAGGTGGTGCTAACCCTGCATAACTGTCAGAAAATGAACTGCCCTTCTAAAAGAAGAAATGCTGGATAAAATGAATAGATTGGGGCTTGATGACCCAATTTCCTCATAAACTTCTGAAACTTGGATCAAATAGCTTCACCACCTGTTGTCTGAATATGTTCCATCTATGAGATCATATTATTCCAGAGAGTTTACAAATCTTGTTATTGATAACACTTGTGCGTCCTCCTAACGTTGTTAACAACTGTAATGTCTGTATGAACTCTGCATTTTTTTTTTTTCTAGGCTAAGCTTCCTGATCTGCAGCCGTTTCCTTCCCCAGATGGTGACACAGTGACACAGCACGAAGAACTTGTGTGGATGCCAGGAGTCAATGACTGTGACTTACTTATGTACCTTAGGGCAGCAAGGTAATTTCAGCCAAGATACTACCAATGTCTTTAGAATGCTGTAGTGGAAATGTGAACTGCCCTGTATGCGCAGTTGGCTACGGTCACTCCTTTCTATTCTGTTTTGGTGTAGCATGGTGTCAACCAGATAAGCTGGAATGTTTAGTTCGAGACAAGAATGCTCTGATTTGATGTTGGGCCAACACAGAATCTTTCCACGGGCTGTGGCTTTTGGGTTTAAAATGCAAAGCCAGCAGTATGTGTTTAGCATGACAGAAGGAGCATTGGATATGTACCATGTAACAAGGGAAGTAACTGCTCTGAGTGGAATAGCCGTGATAGCAGAGAATTCCTTCAGAGACTAAACGTGTTTTTGGAGGAGTTCTAGTTTGCATTTCAGTTTCATACAGATCTCTGGTATGCCTGGTAGTTTGATAAGATGCACTGGTGGGCCTCACAATAATTCAGAGTACGAGTAAATTACTTGTAGTTTGCAAGAATGCAGGGATGGGGGAATCTGCAATTTAAGTCAGTTTTCTAACATAATGAAACTAAGATTACAACAACAGGTTTGCTGTCTCTGGTGAGACTCTGTCCTCATGTCTGGAGGTTATGTCTTCCATAATCCTGATCAGGCTTTGGTACTACTGCAGTGCAGGTTTTTAATTGATGAAATCCACTTAGATTGGACTTTAATTTTGGATTAATTATTCCATATGCTGAGGTGACTCAGGTTTGCATAACAAATGGCACTGCTTGTGGTGCCTTGTTTTATTTGTTTCCACGGTGTCACAAGGCCCTGAAATTTGTGATTTAAGGTGTAAATATACTATTTGTGTATTGCATGATGTGTGCATCAAACAGTAGCTGAAGAATTTAAACTTTTTTCCCCTCAAACTATAAAGGAGCATGGCAGCTTTTGCAGGCATGTGTGATGGAGGATCCACAGAAGATGGTTGTGTTGCAGCCTCCCGTGATGACACTACACTTAACGCACTCAATACAGTAAGTATATAGAACCACTGAATGGAAGAACAGTCTTTCCATTTATTTCTGGACTACTTAAAGCATGTAGTGCATAAAATACTTAGCAGGTAAAATAGATTTTGGGACCACAATACGAGTATGATAGTAGCCTAGGATATCATAACTTCCTTTCAAATACCAACTAGTTTTCAAAAAGCTAACCTACAGAACTTCAGTGATCAACTTTTGGGTGGTGCCTTTAAGTTGACAGCTAGTGAATGTTCTGTATGGGAAGCTGCTCGGAGCAAGTACACCAGCTGGAATTGTTACTTACTCAGCTGACACCTGACCTGGTTATTGGTCCTTTCATTCAGTCCAGCTAGCTTCTAGCTGTAGGAAAACAATAGTTATTTCCTAGAAGGAAAATTGATAATGCCATCAGTTGTGTAGTGTCATGTATGTGGTAATGACTGTCTGGAACTTGTTCCACTCGTGATCCAGTCTTCATAATAATTTATATTTGGATGCATGTATGTCCAGTTATCTCTTGCATAAACATAATGTGTGTAAGTAAAGCATTACTGATTAGTTATATAGATGTGAATGTATGTTGAGATGCTCACATAGTTTCAGTGCAGCCACAACAATTAACTGTTTTGGGGAGGGTGGGGGGGCACTAACATCAATAAACCATGAAATGGTATTTTAAGATCAAGCTGAAGAAACTTGTCTGTCATTCAATATTTTTTTATAACACAGTGAAATCTATAGTTGTTTGTTTCCCCAGAGCCCTATCTGCAGCTTTTGGAGAATTGTGGTGGTAGTGACTGTAAGCTGACCTTTGTTGTGTCTTCATTGTTTCCTTCCTGAAATATAGTAAAAGGAATTACGTGTAACTGGTCATATGTTACTCTAAAGAAACACATAGACAGATCTGCTGACTCTACCAACAAACAATTTCTGTTCTTCCTCTTTTTATGTCACCTATTATACATAAAATGTATCTTGGAGGTATGAACAGTTGAGTTCTGTCCTGTAATTTTCATGGTTATTGGCTACATTCTAATCCCATGCACTTGTGAAAGCTGTGGAAAGGATAGGATGTACCATTTGCTGAATGAGTTTCTAGCTAAATCTGTTAAAATGTTTTAGGGGCAATCACAACAGAAATATACAGACCCCACGTACAGCTGGTCGGACTGGAAGCTGGGAGCAACTTCAGCTGAGCATGTTTTTTGTGAAACTGCCAAGGGAGGATGCAGTGTGGAGCTTCAGATTTAATTTTTAAAGATCTCCTTTCCTAAAAGTAGTTTTAAGCATATTCTGCCTCAGTGTCCAGCACCGTAACTATCTACAGCGACTCATGCATTACTTTGTTCACAATGCTTGAGGCTCAAGTAATTTGTTTTCGTTCAGCAAAAAATAAAACTAGTGATACCAACAAAAACCAAGTTAGTATGTTGTACTCCTGCAAATTGGCTAATGTTAAATACCAGCTAATGACCACAATATTATGTCTGCCTCTGCTTGCTATGCTTTAATTATTTACAGTTGCATAGTTTTTAACCATTTTTTTAAAAATTCTTAAAAGCTTGTAGATGGCTGTGATACACATCAGAAACTGAGTGATAATTACTGCAACAGAGAACTGATTATCTGTTTGTTTAGAGGAAGTATCCTAACCATATTGTTATTTGGTTGTTTTATTAAAGTGAGTGGAACTGACTTTGTCAAATTAATCACATTAAATATGCTTAACTGATTCTTTACTGTCAGTGAAGCATCTCATTACACGAAGCTTTTAAATACTTCAGAATGTTAAAAAGAAGCTCAATCTGTGTAAGTTGTAGAACTGGTTTGTAACTGGTCAAGTCCATGATTAGGTATGTATAAAGATATCTACACTAAAGTTAAAATGCTTGTATTCTTAACATGAAAAATGTTAGTTATGTAACGTTAGCTTACCAAAACCACTCGCATTGGTTTTTGTTTTATTTCTGTATCTATTTGATTACATGTGTTTCATAGAGTGCATCAATTTTTGTCTTGTTTCCTGGAAGAGACAGGAGTAAAATAGGATTAAGATCTAAAATGTGCCTCTGTAATACTTATTAAATAAACAGCAACAGAACTTTCATTCTTATTCTGCAAAATTGTTTAAATATAGTCTATACACTTGCATGTGTAAGCAGCTGAAATCCAGGATCAAATTCTGTACCCAAATTAAACGCTTCCTTGTAGTTCTGACTTTGACATCTGCAAAGTCAAGTGTTGCTTCACAGTGTGCTTCAGAACTGAGGTGAATGTATAAATCTTAGTCCTTTGGTTCCTTTCCTAAAGATAGCCAATGTGTTAAAGATTTTTATACTGCTTGATAAGAATTGCAGTTAAGTCTGTATTGCTCATCCACTTCAGTTTCTTGCCTGTTTTACATTTTATTTCCTTCCTTTCTCTTGGGGTGGATGCCATCTGGTTCGGGTGGCTTACCACTCTAGAGTTTTCTAAGTTGTTCCCTAACACCCTTCTTAGAGACTCAAATCTCTGTTAAGGCCAGTAATTGTCAAAGAGCTTTTGGAATTGGAATTTCTTTCCCCTTGTCATCTATAACAAAAGACTAATGCAGAAAATACGTTTAACTTCACTGCTTCGCTATCTACTTTAATTACCCCCTTTAATCACTTGGGAGTCTAAGGAGCCTGTAGTTGCACTTGTAGACTTCTTGCTTCCGAGACTTAGATTAGTCCCAAAATATTTTGTTTCTGCCTTTCTGATTCTTTTATCTTTGTATTTCTAGTGCACATCTATTTTAGAAAGTCACTGCTGATTCATTTTCTGGATGGGGGAGGGTTTCACACTTCTGAAATAAAAGCACTAGACAAACTCTTAATTTATCCTCTTAAGAACCTTGTTTGTGTGTAATATTTTTGACTGCTGTTGTCGTGACTTCCCTTTCCCCCCACTATGACACCTTAATGTACGGCAGTAAGACTTACCCTGTGGTGTTCTTGTAAATCATCTCATTAACTTCAGCTTTGCTGAAGTTTCTCTTTTGTAGGTATTGTGGTGCAAGTCCTCCGTTCCTCTCTGGGCTAGTTTTCAACCCTGTATTGACACAGTGTAGTTCCTATTAAATAGTCTGCCTGAACACGGACTTCCAAGAAAGTAGAGTCTGCAAGGTTTGACCTTAATGACTCTTGAAAGGTCCTTAGGCTTCTATGATGTTTGGTTTATTCATGCTTCAAAAATCTACTCTGTGTACTAATACTGCTCATCGCAATTTTTATAAAACCAGTGAAGATGCTTTCCCTGTTCACTTTGAATTTTTCTAGAGAAGTGTTTTCTTATGAACAATAGTTTCTGTCAGGTGGGATATTTTAAGAAACTTTGACTTATTTCTGAGAGCGTACTTTTTTGACTAACTTAAAACAGTTTAGATAGGTAATTTGTTGTCCTGACAAAATGATGCCCTTTTTCTGTTCACCATCTATTTAAAACATATCAGATTTGTCTGATAAATAATTGGTGAGAATATTACCCTGCCCTAAGTTGTGTTTTTGTTTAGAAATGATCGTATGCAACCCAGAAGACTAATGTGAAAAAAATTGATACGGTATGATTTCTTATTATGGAAATCCAATAAACTTCAGAGCAGCACTTCATATAAATCAGTCTTGACAAGCTCTTTTGCTAGTATTTTATTTATGTAATAACAGACGGTGTAGCCCCCAGAAGGATTTATCGTTAATTATACCAGATAGAAATGAAGATCATGAAAGGCACAATGCAACATATATATCAGCTCATTGAAATAATTATTCACTTAATGTTCCAGGTAAATTTCAACTCCTGTTCCTTTGTTTGGCTATTGGGATTTGGTGCCCCATTTGTCATTGTAACCCTTAGGAAGGAAATAAAGTTTTCATTTGGAGTTTGTTGCCTTCCTGATGAGTGTTGGCTGTCATACTGAGAGGTACAGAGGAGGACACGTTGGTTCCTGAAAGTCTTTCACCATGGTATTTTTAGAGGGGCTTTTTTGTTACAGTACCATAGAACAGGTAGCTGAACTTGGCTGGCTTTCCAAAACTAGCTGGTTTTTGTGCTTTGTTTAAATATTCATTAACAAAGGCCGTTCGATGCGTTAGACCTTAAAATATTAGTCATGTGAAACGAAAACATGCATATTCAGTACATTTTTATTTTTCCAGTTTCATAATTGAACCATAATGCGTGAAGCCATTTTTATTGGTGAAATCGTAGGTGACGGAAACATTTTAATTTTTTTATAGCTACCGAGTTCCTCCTATCTTGTGAACCGGAGAACCACATTGCTTTGATGCAGAACTCTTCCTAATAAGTGAAAAGGGAAATCGAAATGCTAATTTGGATTACTCCCAAACCTTGTTTTGGGTCACTGTGGACAACATCATTGCATTCTGAGAGCCAGCATGGTTGATGTGAGAGTTTTATAATTAATACTTGGTAGCAATTCACTTTGCCTTTTTAGCGCTTTTGGGCTTTGAGTGTGGATAGGCATCACTTTTTAGTAATCAGAATACCATAAAAAAGTCCCTCAAAACACTATATTTACAAGATACCTGTGGAGATCCTTAGTAAGAAAATCATGCAGGAGAGCCAGGACTTAATCAGCCAGTTGTGGGTTAGTTTGGTTTTGGTTTTTTTGTCTGTTCCAAGCTAATTGGAATTTGGAAATCAGTTGAAAACCTTAGAATTCATTCCCTTTCCAAGTCGGGCTAGTTTAATTAACTACCTTATTTTGCTTAGTATTCTTTACTTGCAAGTGCATCGCCCACTCTAATGTTCAGTGTGGAAAAGCATCTGGCACCCTGTTTTGTTCTCTTGTGTAGAAGGAAGAAAAAAGTCTTGTGGAAGCATTTTTTTTAAATGGCCAATTGTGGTGCCAATATGTTTTATTTGTGGATAAATTTCTTCTGTAACATATGCAAAGGTGGGTAACCTGGGCCATCTGTAATACTTATGGTGGAGCATGGGCAGAAGGAGTTCCAGTTTTCAAATGAAAA